TGAATTGATGCCTAACTCTGGAATAGGTAGATAGCCACTCTTTTAACTACGTACTCATGTGTTTCCCTGTTATCCGGCTATAGTTTGATCTAGGATATCTGCATCTGGAACCAATGTGCTTTCTTTACAGTATGGTCTTTCATCATATGTCAGAGTACCCTGGATTGATTCATCAATTTTTGATGTCAGGAATTTAAGACAAATAGAACTTACACACAAAACTCCTTCAAGTTGGGTCGACCAATACTCCCACTAATTTCTATTGGAGAAAGTCACTCATTGAGTCCAAATTTACAGAGTTTACCTTAGTAAGCGTCAAAATCATAGTACAAAGAATGTAAGTATTTATAAAAGTAACTGAAATTATTTGCAAACATTATACAACATATGATCTATATATTTAAGTAATAAAGTAAAAAAGAACCATTAAATGCCTTATTAAGGAATGACTGTACCCCCATTAAGAAAGGTATATCCCAGGTATTGAAATTGTTCTTTATATACAATAATATGATAATAAAAACAAGTAGAATACCAATGTAATAGAGACAAGACATGGGTAACACTGTTGAATCAGCTGAATATTGATAAATCACCTCAGCGGAAGTACTAGATGACTGAAAATACAGAAATTTTTAGCATCGAATAAATGTGGAAATGTATAAATTCTTGTTTGGTAATTCCAAAAAGACTGTAAAAACCTGTGGCTTCCTATAACTTCTATAACTGATTAGGAACCCATTTAATAAATCAAGTTATTATTATTATATGTGTATATACCTGTTGCTTCAGTTGTCCTATTTATTCTGTAGTACTTCAAAACAGGGTAACATGTAATGGAAAAGTGAAAAAATTCACTCTAAGTGAGTTATGAGTTGGGAAAGGATTATAAGCATCTCAGCAGTTAGTGCTCAATTTGTCATTCTTGACCTTACAATCACCCTGCAAGAATATTTGAATTTAAAATACATGTGGAATATATAAACACTCAAGGAATATCACTACGATAAATGATATGTTAGTATTTTGTCATCTTTTTGTATTTGTATTCCTTTGCTTATTTTGATAAATATAACATAATTACAGACATATAAGATAAGCTCATCATCACTTATTAAGAAAATCCAGATCAAAACAACACTTAGATGTTGTCTTACACCAGTGATAATGTACATATCAAAATACTGGGAACAATGTCTATTGGTAGGGATGTCATGGAAAAGAAACTCTCATCCGCTGCTGGTGAGAATGGTATTTGGTCAATTTCTATGCAAAACAGTATGAAGGATTCTCAGTTAACTGAGAATTCAGCAGCCATGTGACCTAGCAATTCCACTTGTGGGTATTCCTAAGACAGAAAAACCTTCATTCAAAAGAACTGTATTGCTATGAGTTTCCCTCTAAACAATGCCTTTGCTTTGTCCCATAGATTTTGGTATCTTCTTTACTCATTGTCATTAGACTCAAGGAATCTTCCTATTTTTTCCTTGATTTCTTCTTTGATCCACTTGTTATTTAGCAGCATATTGTTCAGTTTCCAGATGTTAGTTTCTCCACATCTTCTGTAATGGCTAATTTCTATCTCTGTGACATTGTATTTTTTTTTCCTTTCTCTAATTCCTTCAGCAATGACCTATAGTTTTCAATATGGATCCCAATATAGAAATGTAGATTTCTCCTTAGTTAACTAACTAAAGATATTGCTTTATTTTTAATGCAATTTTAATTTTTTTAGATTTCTTCTCTTCATTTTTGAATATAGAAATGAGCAAATTTTTTTTGTATTAATTTTGTAGTCTGCAGCTTTACTCCATTTTTTTATTGTTTCCAATAGAATTTTACTGGTCTTTGTGGTTTTCTATGTATATTATTAGATTGTCTTCAAACTGATAATTTTACATATTTTTTCAATATATGTTCCTTCAATTTATTTTTCTTTCATAATTCCTATGATTAAGAATTTGGATACTATGTCTAATACTAGTGGAAATCCTTGTCCTAGGCAATTTTTATAGGAAAGTTGTTAGTTCTTTGTGGATTTTTGCTGTTGGCTAAACAAATTTAAACTGTAGTTAATTATACATGCTAATTAAATACTATTAGGTCAATGAGAAATAGAAGATTTCCTAGAGATGAGAATGAATACATGAGCTATCAGAACATATGTAACATACAGAAAAAAGTTCTGGGAAGGAAATTCTTATTTGTACAGGTTTATATTAGAATAAAAACATTCAAATAAACAACCTCACATTAAAGAACTAGAAAAGAATGACAAATGAAACCTAAATTCAGTAGGAAAAAAGACAAGATAATAAAAATTAGATCTGAAATAAGTAAATTAAATATACTATACATAAGATCAATGAAACATAGAGCTGTTTTTTTGAAAATATAAACAAGATTGACTAACCCTTAATGAGATTTGTGTAAAAAGAGAGAAAAGTCATGGAAATAAGATCACACGTGAAATTGAAGAAGTTAATACTACCATTCTTTGTGATGCATTTTGAGTACATAAACATTAATTAGAAAATATATAAAACTAATATTTCCTGCACTGCCTACTCCCAAATGTCTGGTTCTCATAACCATAAACTGCTTTCCTAAACAGATCAAAAAGCTCTCTTTTTCTTTAAGCACATAGGTGGGGAACGGTAAGAGATAGTGTTAATTTACATTAAGTAATATAGGTCACACACAAAGTATAATCTTTATGTTAAAGTACTTGATATTTAAGTCCTAACTCTACCACTTAATAGTTCAGGGATTTGAGTTGAGGGAATTAGCATTCATTAGTTTTAGTTTCCCCTTGTGTAAAATTCTCTAAAATAAACAGCTTTTATTTATAGATGAGAGGACTAAATAATATACCATATTTAAAATTCCTGAGACATTTTCTGTTTTATAGTAAGATATAAGTAATAAATAATTGGTTTGCTTTTATGTTATTTCAATATACACATTTTTACATTACATATCCCCCTGTAGTTAGCATTAATATTGATCCTAAAACTACGACATGGCTTCCAGGTGACTAGAAATGGATCTGACACCTAGTATCGCAGAAGAAAAAGTAGGAATTAATCCATGTGAGGTTCAAAGGGCGTTTGTCCTATTGATATTGATTTCCTTCAATCAGAGAGTAGCCAAGGCCTTTGGAGAAGTAATTGAATTGACATCAGGCAGGTTTGGGTTATTAATAATGTAACAGCCTTGGATACTCTTGATGACTTAATATTATGATCAAAAGGAATGTCTGGAACTGAAATGCCTGGAAACAGAGTCAATAGCTATGTCTCTGAGGAGAAGAGGAAACACACATCATTTCTAAGAACTAATTTTAAAGAACAAAGCACTTTATGGTATTATTAAATATGAGGGGAAATGAGATTTTTAAAATTTTTCTTTTTATAACATAAAACTTTAAAGGCTTTTGATGTTACCATTATTTTAATTTTTGCCCTTATTTCACAAGACAGACCGGTTAAGAGTTCTAAGATTTTAGTGATTAGTTCAAGGGTTAAGATCATAAACATACTATTTATATTTATGTTCCCTGAATTCAAATATCAGCATTCCATCAGTTAGTAACATGTCTTTTAGTTTGTGAATTTCTTTGAGCTTGTTTTGATATCTGTTAAAATAGAACCATTAGTGTTTATAACAATAGAAAAGTCTAATTAGAAATTAGTTCATGTCAATTGATATCATATTCTTACCTCACACACCATTTTTAAATGAAATAATATGTAAATTTGGTGTATTTATCCCTTTCTATTTCCGGAGAGAAGAGCACACTTAATGGTAACCTCCAAAAAATCTTCCTTTTAGTCAACTATTCTGACTTCATCCACTCTCCTTTGTACTATTTCAATTGCCAATTAGTGTCTTCTCTTTTATTTCCTAACCTCACCCTTACTACTCTCATGCTAACCAGTAATTTCTTCATAAAGGTCTAAGTCCTTTGACTATACTTATGTCCTGGAAAGGGGTTAATGCCCTGCTTCTCCATTTTAATATGCAAAAATGGAAATCACCGAATTACCTGTGTTTCTAGAATTTGGTGCTGAAATTGAAGTTGAGTACAATGCCCTGACCTAGCAGAGCATAATAAGTGGAAGGGAGAAGAGTTTATATATCCTCCAATTATAGTCAAAGAAATATAAAATAGTTACAAAATTTTTAACTTCAATATTGTAGTCAGTTATTATCTAGTTTTTTTGAACTTCAAGTGTTCATGTATTCTACATTTTTCTAACAACCACAGTATTCACTTGCATGCAAATTTGAAAATAGCCTAGATAGAGGGCACAGTCACTCATAGCTGAAACTTAGACATTTAGCATTCACTATTGTTCTAATGGGCTGGAGCTATAGCACAGCGGGTAAGGTGTTTGCCTTGCATGCAGCCAACATGGCCAACCCGAGTTTGATTTCTCCACTCCTCTTGGAGAGCCCGGCAAGCTATCGAGGGTATCTCCCCGGCACAGCAAGGCCTGGCAAGCTACCCACGAGGGTATCTCCCCGGCACAGCAAAGCCTGGCGAGCTACCCATGATGTATTCTGTATGCCAAAAACAGGAACAACAAGTCTCACAATTTGTTGTGAAATGTTTCTGGTTGGGCAAATCGATGAACAACGGGAGGACAGTGCAGTGATATTGTTCTAATAGTTATTATATATACACTGTCTTTATTCTGATTTTCAGACGAAACAAAGGAAGCTTTAGTAACTTGGCAAGTCACACAATTTGAGAACAGATGAGTTGGTTTACGATGCAAGATTTTAGTTCTAGGGTCTGTTTATTTATTAATATGTTAAAATGACACAAAGACATTGACTTTCCACTGGTACTGTTTAACCTTACTATATGTTGCAACTAGTCTGTATGGTTTTCTTTAACCTTGCTTGTGTTTCCATTTCTAGCTTTGAAGAACTTAACTTGTAATTTGTATGGCATAGTCTTCTGACAAAAATTATCTCTTCCCTATTTTCAGAGAGTCATTTTCAACATTGTTAACTTTAGCAAAACCAAGAGTCTTTATAGAGATGGGATGGCCCCTATGGTGAAATCTACCAGCAGACCAAAATGGTAAGTTATTCACAGATGGAACTTTCTTCTACTTGAACAGTTTGGCCCAGAACCCAACTTATTTGCTGGTTGTCTAGGACTCAGCCTCTTTGGCACTAAAAAGAATAAATAAATTTGTTTTCATATGGCTATTCTGTAGGCTCTCGGTACTATTATTTGAGAATTTTGGACAGAGAATATAATGTCATATTTGGAATGACCAAAATATTCTTATGAATTAAGGCAAGTCAGTTTTTCCATAAATTTTCTGTCCTGTTTGTTTTTATAGTAGTATCTTTGGAAGCATAATTAATTTTTCCCAGTATGAACATAAATATTGTATAATAATCTGTATGAACATTGGGGACTATCGTATATTTCTGTTTCTTTGGCAGGTTGTTGTGTTGTTTTTGCATAGAAATTGTGAGGTTTGAGGGGTGTTAAAGTTCTGTTTGTTCCATTGATATAATAAAAATGAGGAGAGTTGAAAAGTATTGCTAATGATGATGCTAATGATGATGATAATGACATCTAGTGAAAGTCTATTCTTTGTCAGATGTTTTTTAATATCTGCTGTGTATAGTCTCATATTTTGTAAAGGTAAGTTTTAAATATTCTTCCATTACAGGTGAATAAATTGAGGATTATTTTATCTAAAACATTTAACAGATTAATATAATCTCTGTCAAAATCTCAACAGCATTTTTCACAGAAATGGAGCAAAAATATCCCAAAATTTATATGGGTCCACCAGGGATCTTGAGTAGCCAAAGCAATCCTAAAAAAAAGAACAAAATAGTATTATGCTCCCAAACTTCAAACATTTCTACAAAGCTAATTGAAACATTTTTATTATTATAGTAAAATTACAAATCAATTAAATTTATTTGAAAGCATACTTGAAAGCCTGAAATAATTGATATATATACACATAATATAGGAGTCTGGCAAGCTCCCCATGGCATATTAAATATGCCAAAACCCAGTAACAATGATGGGTCTCATTCTCCTGACCCTGAAAGAACCTCCAATTTGGCACTTGCTAAAATCTCAGGGCTAGAACAAATGGAGACGTTACTGGTACCTACTTGAGGAAATCAATGAACAATAGGATGACAGTGATACAGTGATGTATATTTGTGTTTGTGTATATATATATATATATGTGTGTGTATATGGAAATTAGTTCATGAAAAAGTAGCCTGGAATACAAAGTGGAACATACAATAACTAGCAGGCACATGTAAAGTTATTTGTTATTAATTATAAAGAAAATGAAAATCAAAACCTCATACTTATAATAATTTCTGTTGTGTGACTCAGAGATAGGACATTTGCCTCCCATGTTAGTTTGATTCCTGACAATAGAAATAAAAGAAAGGAAATAAAGAAAAATAATATTGTCAGAGAGACAAGAAGCAAGTAACAGATGTTTATCAGAATGTGGAAAGAAACTATCATTCACTGTTGGTGGGGTTTGTGAATTGGTATAGCCACTATGAAGAGTTCTCAAATAATTAAGAATGTAAGTGCCATATAGATCACTATTCCACTTTCCGTTTTCTCCCTGCCCTAAAACCCATAGAAACAAAAGTCCACAAAGACATTTATTTTTAGTAGTTAAGATATAGAAATAATCTAAATGTCTACCAATATATGAATAAGGTAAAGTCTTGCCATTTAAACAATATGGAAGACCCAGAGAGTATCATCCTAAGTGAAATAAGACATATGGAGAAAGACAATTTCCATATTAATTTATTAATAGGTGTGAAGGTAAGAAAAAAAGTGAAAACCAAAATTTTTGTATTCAGAATTCAAGTTTATGGCTATCAGAGGGACAATGGATTGAGATTTGGTGAAACAGGAAAATGGGTCCATTGTACATGTAGTATATAGAAACTGACTTCATTGGTTTTTGTAGGTTGAATATATAGAAGTACAGAGTATAGTAGTAGTCATTAGAAACATTATAAAAAATGTTAAATCAGTAATATTATGATTGAAGTTAGTAAAGATTAAGTGTTTCTTCAAGACCATATATTAATGAGGAACTTGTGATATTTTTATTAGCTCACAATCATTCAGATGATTAATTTACTCACCCATTTAATTATTCAAAATACATTGAATGAATAAAGTTAGAGTATTTAAAGTCATAAAGAAAATGTTATTCCCTACACAGTAGATGTTTAGTGAATACTTGTAAGTTGGTTATAAGAATTTATATGTAAAGTACTGATGCTTGCTAAGTGCTCAATAAATATCATCTACTATTAATAGCATTATGTACAACCTATACTAATGCAAAAGTGTCAATATCATTCTGCCTTTGATATTTTTTCATATCTTAATACTAGTGAGAAAATTATTTCCAAATGTGTATATTTACTTTTAAAATACTATCAATAAATAAATACTGTATTGTGCTTTTATCTAAAAATGATAGTTGGCAATTTTCTATAAATGATGGCTTGAAAAACTAACGTTTTTTAAAGTATGGACATTTAATAATAATAAAATCAATTTATTACGAGGAAAAAGAAATTTATGGGCCTATTTTTTGCTTTGTTGCTTCAAGTCAACTATACTTCCTTTCCTCAATCTCCTTTTGACCATGAGATCTGGTCAAGGGTCAGACCTTTGCTTTGAATCTCTGAACTCATCCAGGTAGATAAAATACAGCATGTATCTCTGTTAATAAATACCTGTTTACATATGTAGCTCAAACCTCAAAAACCCAAGGTTATAACTGTTGATCTACTGATGAGGACCTTAAAAAGGTTGTAGGGGCCAGAGCCATAGTACATTGAGTAGGGCGTTTGCCTTGTATGCGGCCAACCCGAATTCAATCCTGGCATCCCATGTGGTCCCCCAAGTACTACCAGGAGTAATTCCTGAGTTAAAATCCTGGAGTAACCCCTGAGCATCACCATCTGTGACACTCCCCCCCGCCAAAAAAAATAGCTTTGTACTTCTATATGAGGAATAATAATTATCATTCCTTTTCTGTATGGGTTCAGTTCTGATGTCTTTTTTATTTTTGTGCATTTAAGTAGCCTCAATCTTAATTGTTTCATTATGTTTTGTTTGATTTCTCCTGGACTGTCATTTTGGTTCCTTTTTGTCAGTTTTTTTGACAAGACTTCGAGATATTAATGAGTCCTTTTATTTATATTATCATTCTTTTGAATGAAGTTAGTCATCTTACTCTTGGCAGGCTGAAAGCCTGAACTATTATGAAGTCACTAGACTTCTCTAATAACTGTAAAGTTTTGTAAATTAGTTTCTTGATGTTTGTTCATTAAGCAAATAAGGCACAATGTATCAAAGCTAATCAAGTTTTTATGTCTGATCTAGTTTTAAGGTCACCACCCTCAACCCTGCAGGTTGACTTTAGGTTGACCTTGCGACCGATAGCACAGCGGTAGGGCGTTTGCCTTGCACGCAGCCAACATGGCCAACCGGAGTTCGATTCCTCCGCCCCTCTCGGAGAGCCCGGCAAGCTACCGAGAGTATCTGGCCCGCACGGCAGAGCCTGGCAAGCTCCCTGTGATGTATTTGATATGCCAAACACAGTAACAACAAAGTCTCCAATGGAGACGTTACTGGGCCCGCTCGAGCAAATCGATGATCAACGGGAGGGCCTTTACTTTACTTTACTTTACTTACCCTCAACCCTGAATGGGAAATGGTTAAGTAGGATATCTTCATAGCCCCAATTCTTTAAGTCATATGTTTCCATATATGTTTACTTAAAGACACCCTATTGAGCACCATAATGTGCCACTCTTTATATAAATATTGGAAGTACAGTAGGGATGCCACAGAAGATATATAGTCCCTTAGGGCCAGAGACATAGTACAGTGGGTAAGGTGTTTGCCTTGCACTTGTCCAACTCAAGTTCCATTCCTGGCATCCCTTAAGGTTCTCTGAGTTCAACACATCGCAAAGACAGAAGTATGCCCTGAGCACAGCCATTGTGCACCCTCATGCCCCAAAAGTAATTTTTCCCCCAAAGAAACTTCCATTTTCTGTTTAGAGTAATTAATCTACAGGTCACAATTGTTACTGTCCATGCTACTAGTTTATTCTGAAGATTTTTTCTCACATTTAGCATTTTCTCCTTAGTTCTTTTTTTAGTTGTTGTGTCAAATGCCTGTAAAAAGAGCCTGTTTTCCAGTTGTTATTTTTCAAAGGTGACAGAGAAGTATATATAATTGACAGTAAGAATTTTAGATTTTATAGGCCCTAAGAAGTCAATTGCAATTTTAGATTCTAGTAAATTGCCTAATTTAAGGCTAGAAAAATCTTTACAGATGCCAATATAAGAGTGGTAGCATAATGGGTAGGGTCTTGCATGCGGCTGACCCAGGTTCGATTCCCAGCATCCCATATGGTCCCCTTAGCACTGCCAGGAGTAATTCCTGAGTGCAGAGCCAGGAGTAACCTCTGTGCATTGCCGGGTGTGACCCAAAAAGAAAAAAAAGTATTTTCAGAGAATCTAATTCCAGTTTCCCCTTTTCCCCTTCCAAGCTTTCTCCTCTCTCTCGCTCTCTCTCTCTCTCTCTCTCTCTCTCTCTCTCTCTCTCTCTCTCTCTCTCTCTCACACACACACACACACACACACATACACACAGACACACAACATTACAAAAGGAAAAGGAGCTTATCCTTTCCTTTCTTAGAGGTCAGTTGACCTTAGGAATGTTCTTACCGCCTGATATACATTAAAAAACTCGAGCTTAGGAGCTGGAGCAATAGCACAGCAGGTAGGGTGTTTGCCTTGCACGCGGCTGACCCAGGTTCGATTCCCAGCATCGCATATGGTTCCCTGAGCACCGCCAGGAGTGATTCCTGAGTGCAAAGCCAGCAGTAACCCTTGAGCATCGCCGGGTGTGACCCCCCACCCCCCCCCAAAAAAAAAACGTTGAGCTTCTGGGATGAAATATATACCAAGTTGGAAAGTCACTTTCTTTACTCTACAAAGGTGAAATAAACATTGTCTTTAACTTTAGTA